GGATAGAGAGGTTGGCTCTGTAAGTGCTGGATGCCAAGGAATACAAGTAATAGCAGATGCGACTAGATAGGGCAGAGAAAACAGGAGAGAGAAAAACTAGCTACATAGGCAAAAGAAATACACATCTCCCTGGGGAAATGCATTCAGTAGTTCAAAGGATAAATCCAACCTGTCTTCTTACACCTCCTGAAACTTCCTTTGTGCTCACACTATCCAATTATTTTGTCCAGCAAAATGGAAGGGGCAAGTATTCCCTAGAATACTTAGCAGCGATTCAAACATCCTTGATATTCTCATCTGCCTATTATTCTTCAAACATTTCCTTAAAACGCCTGTTCTACTTTTCAAGGCTATGGATAATCTTGGAATCAGCTTAAGTCTCTCCTGTACTATTCTGAGATTTAGAATCCCTGGTCCGAGTAGTTTATCATAAAAAAGATACAGACACAAACATGAAATAAACTAATTCAGTTGAAAATTGGGGTCTAACAAAGCTAACGCAAGTACTAAGGGGGCCATACGTACACCTCAAGCATGTATGTGGAGGCAATAGTAAATCTTTTCTTGCACAGATCCTGGGCGTAGACAAAACTGAACCTAGAGATGCTAATCAGTGTAGCATGAAAATGGATGGTGTGAGGACCAGCTGCACCCCTGTATATGATGCCAAAAAGCTGTAAGTCTATTATTAAAATCTCTGCAATTGATTTTAAAGCTAGATCATGCATCTGTTGAACCCCTACAATCATGTGGACAAAAAATTTGCATTCCAGTTTTTATGTATCCATGATCCTTATTATGAAGGTCAGTGTGGGCTTGATTATGGAAATGAATAGTTGGATATTCACTCTACAACCACTCTAGCTGCCAAGGTATCAAAAGAACAACCTCACCCGCAGATGAACTGATATTCATCTCCATCCAACCTCTGTCTTGTCCTCTTTGGCCTCCTAGGAATCCATTGCCACCCTCGGAAGTAACCAGGGCCCTACCAACTACTTATTCCATGAGCCACTTCTTATTGAAGTGAGAAATCAATTGGGATCTCTTCCTACTAGCGATGGTTAGCTTTTCTGTCTACACAGACCACAAATTTTTCAGAGTCAAGAGGTTAGGAAACCAGTTTTCTATACCAGCAAAACGTAAGCCCTAAAAAGATCAAGGATTCCAAACGCACATCCAAACAAAATAAAAACAGAGAGAAATGAGAGCCATGTCTGCAGATTGCTTGTCAATCAGTGTAAAGCAATCAGTCAAATGGTACACATGATTATAGGAGCAACAATAAATTTGGTATAATTAACTGGGCACTTTCAGCCAATCATTATGAATTCATTGTAAATGAAGGGGCAAAACCACTTGATTTGGTCAATTTGGGGTCCAGTTAGAGCATACACTGAAATCAAGTGACGGCCTTGATTTCATGAATAAAACATTCTATAATAAATAGCCTTAACCGTACTTTGTACTTTCAAATTTAGTGCCTGGTGCCGCATGTAGCCAAAGACAGACATTGGAATCTCAGCCAAGCAAATCAAGCCATTGCAATGCACGTGTCTTCAGCCTCCAAACAGAAAAATCATATTCCCAAGTAGTAATAATACCCACCAATAATCAAAGCGACTGACAGGTATTAACATTAGAGTTGTCATCACTAGAATCAGGAAACAAGCTGCGCTCTAACATTTTGAACTGGGCTCTAACTTTCTGTATACTCATCACCTACTGTGTAATTAGTAGGTTTGTCTGTGCCCTCCCAAATTTTGTTATTTCATGTCATTGCTGTAACAACACAACAACATTTGATTTGTGGATTACTGTGTGCATACCAATCTTACCATTGAAGTTTGGGTGTGCAGTTCCCAATCATCCAGTATTTTCTCTAAATAGTTATTTTCTAGAATGCTCTGTGCGTGTTTGTGTTCATTTATATATGTGTGTGTGTGTGTGTGTGTGTGTGTTTATGTATTGCATTTAAAAAGTGTGTGTTTAAATAACATTGGGAAGTCCTGGATCTAATTAACTGGGTTTTCTTGCTAAGACTTCACAGATCAGTCAATGTACCAATGAGCACTATGAATGTCTAAGAAAGGCATACAACTTGTGGCATTTTACAACCTTATAGGACCATAGAACACTTCTTTGGAGAGCTGGGGTGGGAAGATGGGGACATTTCCCCTTAAAATATACTTTGGAAAATATAAATGTCTACCTTGAGTACCTTCCAAGTAAAAATACCAGATAAAAGCCACCTGAATGGAAGGAATATATACTCCTTTGGAAGCCTCCTATCTCCGATAGACCTAAAAACAATATCTGGGGCACTGAAAGAAGAGGGTTTCTCTAAATATCTACCTGGACCATGTGACAAGCTCTCTGTGTCACTTCAATCAATCAACAGCATTAATAGAGCATCCACGATGCATCAGAAGTTGAGTATTAATAACCAAAACAAGTTAGGTCTCTTTTAACTCTGGTGAAAACAGAAATTTTCAACAACAAAGTTACATCTGAACCTAAAAGATGACCTCCATGGGTCAAGGTTGACAGAAGACATTTGAAAGAGAAGGAAGTGTATATACAGATACTTGAAAGGGCATCGTTCTGCTCCATTGAGCATTGCTTCATTTCTTTCCAGACATGCCATATCATAGGGTGGTATTTTGTAACATGTTCCCCAAAGAAATGGAAACCGATGCTTGAAGGAGTTGGAGAAGAGTTTGCCATGGTGCATGGCCTGCTGCACAATAAAAATCCATTCATCACTGGACTAGAGCTTGCTTACCTAGGACATGAAGGTGCCCCTTTATGTATTACTAGAAATAACAGAATGTCAAGGTATGTTATATCTCCAGAAAATGTTGAAAATGTGTAATAAGAATAATAGAAGCAAAGTAGGGGAAAGAGAATTAATATTTATTAATATATATATATGTGTTCGTTGTCATAAATTTCTTTTGATGATGCATTGTATGCATATATGTGCATGTTTAAATTCACTGAGTGTTTTTTCAGATCCATTATTTCATTTGATCCTCACAAGAATCCTGTGAACACGGGCAAGGCAGGTGTGGTCAGTCCCTTTGTACAAATGAGCAGTGTGAGGTTCAAGATTGTTAAGTGATTAGCCCCAAATCATATAGGAAGTGCCAATATCAAAACTAGAAAGCAGAGCTTCTGAATCCCAGCCTTATGTCCCTGATTTGTAATTTTCCTGTATTACTTCAAGAGGCTGAGAGTATAGGGAAGCAGATTTACACCTAACTAATATAAAGAAAATCTTTCTAAAAATTATAGCTGTTGAATAGTGGAATAGGTTATCTTATGATATAGTTGTAGAGATCACTCTTAACTCTTGAGATCTAATGAGTCTAAAATTCCCAGGTCTCATTTCTCTAAGATGATGCTTTGGCAACTATTCCTATATCTAGGCAGAACCTGTTTATTATATACTTGGGGTTTAGAAGACACATACTCTTAGAGAAATGCTTAGGAATCAGAAGCTTTCCATATAACACAGGTTAACCCATTGCTTTGGTAGCACAAACACAAATCAGATATAACTAGTGCCCCTATGTATCTCTCAGATCACAGAATTATGGGAAACAGAAACCACGCATTTATCACAATTTCCAAGCATATAATGTATGAGTGAGTTTTCCCTGAAGTTTAAACGCTTGGAGCATGCACATGTTTTATATCAGAAATTATGGGAGAAGGCATAGTTCTGCATTTGGACACTTGTCAGTCATTTGGATGCATAGCAAATTTTCTTTTTCAGAATCTATATCACTGTTCAAATACCAAAGATATTTTAAGAGGTAGAATGTATAAAATGATAATAATCCCCACTTATCTTTAGTGATGAGAGACCAGGATTCTCCTTATTGACAATGGAACCAGCCACTGTTCCAATTCCCTTGGAACATTTTTGTTGTATATTTACAGCCCCCCATGCTTGAGAGAATTGTGCATCTGTCTTATGGAGACGCCTGGCTGCATTCTTTCCCAGATATTAATATAGGTGGCACTTTAGTAGCATAACCAATGACATGAAGAACCTGATTTGGAGGGGAACAGATGGCAGTATCTTTCTTAGGCTAATTTTAGGATCCTGAAATAGTCCCTTTCTCACACAAACCATCAGTGGAACCAAATTAAGATAGCTATGTCACATGGGAAAGAAAGAGAACAAATACGGTTTAGTGTGAGGCTATGACAAGGAGCAGGAGGCTTCAGTGCTTCCCCCACAGCGGACTCCTTTATAGCATATAAAGGTCACTACAACTTCCTTTCATCAGAATGAATGCTAAATACCAATGGGAGGGTGTCTCAGAGGAAGCAAATGGGCCAATCTCATTTTTAGCCACACGTATTGAAAAATCAAGGTTGCATCATGTAATAGATAAATTCACATTCGTAAGAATTTGTGGGACCTAGATTTTTTTTTTTTTTTTTTTGAGACGGAGCCTCAAGCTATCCCCCCTGGGTAGAGTGTCATAGCATCACAGCTCACAGCAACCTCCAACTCCTGGGCTCAAGCGAGTCTGCCTCAGCCTCCCAAGTAGCTGGGACTACAGGCGCCCGCCACAATGCCTGGCCATTTTTTGGTTGCAGCCATCATTGTTGTTTGGCAGGCTTGGGCTGGGGATTCGATCCCGTCACCTTAGGTGTATGTGGCTGGCGCCTTAGCCGCTTGAGCCACAGGCGCCGAGCCATGGGACCTAGATTCTAATACATCTTTTCTTAGCAGATAAGGAAGCGCAGGCTCAGTGACCATTCTACTTGGTAAATCAGGAGCAGATTGAATTTCAGAGCCTCAGATTCCTCATACATTGTTTTGCCTGCTGGGAAGACCTTTCCTCCAAATGAAGCCTATATTAGGTAGAGGTGATGGGATACGGTGAAATGATGTCTCAAGTAGAAATGATGTCTTAGGTAGAAGATGGTCATCTAAGGATTTAGAAAAAATAAGATGGGTATTTTGAAAAAGTACCTACCTGTTTCCCATCGAGAGTATAGAGTTTTTTGACAACTCCGGTCTCCAGTTTGATAGCTTCGGTGATATCGGTAAGTACTTGCTCAAATGAATGGGCTGTCTTCTTATTCAGAAGCACACGCACTGCCTTCCGAGGTTTCACCCCACTGCGGATGATGGTCACCAGCTTGGGGCGCACAAAGTCTTTATTCTCTCTGGCTTGGGCACTGTTGCTGCTAGCCAGAGACTGGGGGGCTTTCATATTGGCAGATGTCTTTACGTTGACGGACCAGTTGGGGTTGACATTCTTGGTATACTCGACCTTTTTAAAGAAGTTGTCTGAGGAACAGACATAGCTTTCCCCTAAGGGAAGAAATAAGTGGTTGAGTGATTAGTTTGATAGCAAATATATGGACTGTTCTCACAAAACTAACACACACTGACGGTGAAGTAGAACTTCTGGAGAAATGGTGAGAATAACCAACCTTATGTTTAATGCCTAATTGGGCTCTCAAACAAACTTGGCTCATTCAGATTCAAGAATAAGTAATCAGCAAAAAAAATCCTTCAATATCATGCCATACCTAGTAGATCAATTCTGTAAATGAAGGGTTTTAAGGACAATGAACACATCTAAGTTAACATAACAAGTGGGGTTCTCACGCCTGATACGGTTTTATTAGAATTTAAATGTCTATACATTCTTCTTAGTAACTTAGCGCAAGAATGGAAAAACGAGTAACCAGTGTGCTCAATACTAATATGAAACCAACACATAAACAACTACAAGCCGACCTGAAAGAGACACACAGTGTAGTCTAGCAAGAAGCAAGACAGGGAAAGCAGAGAGAAGGAGGGGAAAGGAGGGCAATTGGAGGGATCTCACGTGACGTGCACAATGTGAGGGTGCTCAGCACACTTCCTGAGTGAAGGGCTCGACTACAACCTGCACTTTACCTTGGAAATGAAAACAGTGTAACCTAAACACTGATGCCCTCATATCAATCTGAAATTTAAAACAAAGGGAATTGAAATGCTTGTGTTACTTTCCAGGATGTTTAACTTTAAGTGGTATAACTGGAATATTTTTAATTTCTCTATTTTTTAAGGTTCCTTTCCTGTTTGGGGACTCACAGGCCCACCCCCCTGTTATATTATGAACCAAGGAGCACTTTTAAAATTAAAACATTTTTATTCCAAGTTAAAGTGAACCAAGTAACCTTGCATATTGGGCATACGGTACGTACTTGACAAGGGGCCAGATGGTCCTTTGCATAGAGTATATGGCTAAGCGGTGGAATAGTGAAATGTGGAATGTGTGTGTACGTGTGTTGAATACATATAGGTGTATGTAAGTATGTCCTCAACTGCTTACCCCACACTCAGGTAGAGAAATTGTCTAAATGACAAACCGTACATACATACCCCCACAGAACGTTCCTTGTGTTTGCAAGTCTGTCTTTCGCTTGAAAATCACTCTCTCCTGTTTCTACCACTCACCTCTCATCTCCCATCTTCCCATCCGCCCAATTGCTACACACCAGATCTATTTGGGGGGCCATCTTCACCACTGCTCACCCTTGGCCGCCACAAGTAATGAGGTGGAGATGTGAGAATACATTAGGCAGCCTGATTTATGGATCGGAATGATCTAGTATAATTTTCCCATTGACCTTGAGCTAGAAGAAATGAGTAATACAGCAGGAGAAATGCAGGGGTCAGAGGCAAGAGGAGGAGATTGGACACGAGGGACTAGAAGCTGGAGAAAATAGGAAGAGAGATCGGCTCAGCCTGGGGGAGAAAATATTGGAAAAGGTTGACTATGTGGAGGAAAATACATTAGCCTCAAGGTAGATCAAAGTTCATCCAGAGGTTGAGCTGTAGAAACAGCGTGATTTAAGCAGACTTAAGTCATCAGTAATAACCCTAAATAAATAAATAAGCCGGTGCAAAGAAAGCATTAAACACAATTATCATCTGATGGCTCTCCTTTGGTCTCGGCAGGAGAACTGCGCAGAGACATTCCGAAACACCAGGCCTATAATTCACTCCCTCTGCAAATATTGATTGCTTCGCTAGAGCACCAAATCCTTTAAGCCATGTTAATTAATAAATTCCTCAGTCAGTGCTAAGAGGAGTTTCGCTCAGAATCTCTAGGGCACCTTTGAGGACATTTATGTGGGCATCTGTGGAGGGGAAAGGTAAGTGGCATCAGGGCCACTTGGTCTCAGTAGCTGCTAGTGTTCTGTCTTGACAAGGGACCCAAAGGATGGTTCGTGCACAAGCATGCACACTTTTTTGCACTTTGTACACATGTGGACTCCCAGAATGGAATGGTCAAAGACCCTAATCGAGAGAAACCCTGATTTCTCTGGCTTTCTTGCTGGCTAATCCAACCCAGTACAAATGATTAGAGGCTGAGCTCTTTCATTTGTATCTTAAAAGGATAAAAAGGCCCTTTCCCTTCCTCCAGGTATTTATAGCCTAAACCCTCCACACCTAAGAAATGGCCTTTTGCCATAGCACTTCACCAGATTCGTGGGCATCTTCCAAGAGGTCACTGCCGTGGCGTCAGATGTTTTCCATAATTTGTCATGTACTTTAAAACTCTGTCAGACAACTGGTGGTGTGGAAATGTGCAAGGCTATATATTTATGATTTCACTCATCCAGTCTCCTCTGGAGAGTCAGCTGCATGGCCCTATTAGGACTCTGGACTTTTTTTGCTCCCATCTCTTAAACCTCTTAAGCCTCTGAACTATGAGTATGATGAACCACCCTGAGATGAAAATGAATATGATGGCAGACAGCTATAGTATCATGTGGCACCTAAGAACTTTCCAGAGGGCCCAGCCCTCAGCCAAATTTACGTCGAGCACCTTCCAGTGGTACCTGAATATAGAATAATGGAAAAAGAGCAGCTGATGTGATGTCAGACAGAAAGGGGTCTCTAACACTTCCCAATGTGCGCCCTTGGATAAATTTCCTCATCTCTCTTGGCTTCAGATTCTTTTCTACAAAGTGAAGGTGCTAAGAACCAATATACCTACCTCAGGGGATTGTTGTGGGGCATACATCAGAGGATGGATAAAGAGTACCGAGCCCAGAGCATGGAATATAGACAGTGCTTGCGAGATTCCTACCGTTATCCTTAAGCTTCTAATCTGAAGGAAGGGAGGACAGGATAAGAAAGAAAGAGCAAAGAGGAAAAGGAAGAAGAAAGAGCAAAGAGAAAGGACATGAAGAGGAGGAGCAGAAGCTGAAGGAAGGACAAGAGAAAGAAGCAAGGGCGCCCATCTAGGAGCTGAGCTGTGATCATTATATACAATGAGCACTGCTGGGGGCCATGCTTCAGAGATAAGATTTCCAGCTTGACAGGGGGCTTGTAGTTGTGGCAAATGCCAAATGTAGGAGTTTTTATGGCTGACGCTCAGCAAAGCCACCACGGATGCCCACTGAGGGCAGGATATTTATCGTGGCTATGAGTAGTGACTCAGGAATCAGACAACTTTGAGTTCAAATCTCAACCAGGTACTTGGGAGCTGTGTGACCTCAGGCAAATCGCTTAATCTCTCTGAGTCTCAGTTTTTCCATCAATAAATTGAAGCTTTTGTCCTAGGTGACATGTGAGTCCATTCTAGGCCTAAAGGTCTATAAGAAGTCATAAAAAAAAAAAAAAAAACATGGGACTTGGCGGCGCCTGTGGCTCAAAGGAGTAGGGCACCCGGCCCCATACGTCAGAGGAGGCGGCAAGTTCAAACCTAGCCCCAGCCAAAAACTGCAAAAAAAAAGTGGAGACTTGACATCTTTTGCATTTACCTCAAGAATGGAAATGCAAGTATCCAATGTATGCAATAGTAATATGAAACCAATAGATAAATAATTCCACCCCCACGTGAGAGAAAAACATAATCAAATTCAAGTGGGGGGAGGAGCAATAATGAAAAGGGGATGGGGAGGAGAGGGGATTGGTAAACTCTCGCCTAATGCGTACAATGTAAAGAGTATACGGCATACCCCTGAGCGGAGGGCTCAACTTCATCTTGAACTTCACCTAACAAATGCAAACAATGTCACCTAATCCTTTGTACCTTCATATTAATCTGAAATTTTAAAAAGAAGGAATTCTTTTCTCTTTGCCATCTCAAACAGGCTTTAGGAAATCAAACCGTTATGGCGATTACATGTTAAAGAAATAAATGCCCCCCCTCCCCGCCCACCAAGGACTCTCCACTTCCACTATGGGAAAGACATCAAATGAGCTACTTCGCTAGACTAAGACTTCCTTGTTCTGATTTTGCAAACATTTTTGATGTCTGCTGCCAGAGCTCAGTGCTTCCTGCCCGTCCAGCTGCCTGGCGCTTGGAGCTGGGTGAGTTGGGTTGCACCTTTACACAGCTGGGTTCCCATCCGCTGAGGGCCTAGAAGGAAAGCTGGTTTCAGAGCCAAGCAAGGTGACAATTTGCTGGAATTGACAACCTGCTTTAGGGAGAGGGGGTCAGGAAATGAAGTCATGTAAGTGAAGCACAGCTGAAAGGGCAGGAATGGAACGGGCTGTGGGCTCAAGATGATCTAACGTCTACCTCCGAGGTCTCCATTTTCAAAAGCATTAAATATATTTATATCTTCTTGGTGCAAAAGCACTTTTGCCTAGGCTTTCTCCCCTGTCTTTCTCCTTCTCTGTCTCCAGGGCTTCCTGACTCAAAAAAGGAAAATATTAAATGATACTTTGCTGTATTATCCTATCTATTAACGATGCATCCCTCCAAGGTGTCTTAAAATTCTTGTCTTTGGCTCGGCGCCTGTGGCTCAAGTGGCTAAGGCGCCAGCCACATACACCGAAGGTGGCAGGTTTGAATCCAGCCCGGGCTCGCCAATCAACAATGACGGCTGCAACCAAAAAAATAGCCAGGCGTTGTGGCGGGCACCTGTGGTCCCAGCTACTTGGGAGGCAGAGGCAGGAGACTCGCTTGAGCCCAGGAGTTGGAGGTTGCCGTGAGCTATGCCACGGCACTCTACCCAGGGGGACAGCTTGAGGCTCTGTCTCAAAACAAACAAACAAACAAACAAACAAACAAAAATTCTTGTATTTGGCGATGTACTTGCTTTAGTGGTTTGAGGATAAATGAGTGAGAAGGTAGTTTCATCTCATTGGAATAAATGAACTATGGCAAAGGGACTGGATCGTAGCCAGTCTCACCATACAGCTCAGATTTTCCAAGAGTGTGCCCATTGTAAACATTTTGTCCCGTTGTTTGCATAGTAACACTCGAACTTGTCTCGATTTGGGTTCAAAAAAGCTGGTTAGTCATAAATGATACCCCCAAGATTGAGCTGAGCCGTCGCATACAAGGATATAGGGAAAGGACTGGACAAGATACGGGTGAAAGAGAAAGATTCTGCGATGAAAAACAAAGGGAAGACACGACAAAAGGAAAAATGGCCAATGGGTTTCATTCATCGACCTCTGAGGATATAGCATTGAGGGCCCACATCCTACATGGCTTCACTAAGACCCTTAGTGTACTCAAGGAATTGTGGGAAAGCTAACATCAATAAGAGGACTTTGGTCCACAATGGTCCCATTGATACTTTCAGTATACAGCAGCACTCAGCAGACTACAGGCACTACACAAAGGGGGCGCCACAAGGCCAGATGATTGCTAACCCATTGCTTTGATTTCATCTCTCTTTAGGCTAACTATGGAGTAATGTGGCCATTTGGGAACATACTATGTTTTATGCTCCGTTATTCCTTTAAGACATACAAAGAAAAAAGCAAAACAAAGATCTGGTTTCTACATCCCTAGAAACTTCTACCACTATAGTTAGCTGAAGAGGACCATCAAGATCACCTAAACTAATACTTCCCTAGCCTAAGTGCCCTTAACAGTCACCAAAGGAGATTTGGAGAAACACACATTCTGAGGCCCTAGCCCTGGGGATTCGGATTCAATAGATCTTGGGTGTGGTGCAGGAACGTATATTTTTCTAAAGCCCTGAAAGACTTTGAAAGGCAGATAGGGGCTCGGCGCCTGTGGCTCAAGTGGCTAAGGTGCCAGCCACAGACACCTAAGGTGGTGGGTTTGAATCCAGCCCTGGTCCACCAAACAGCAATGACAGTTGCAACCAAAAAATAGCTAGGCGTTATGGTGGGCGCCTGTGGTCCCAGCACTTAGGAGGCTGAGGCAGAAGACTTGCTTGAGCCCAGGAGTTGGAGGTTGCTGTGAGCTTTGATGCTACAGCACTCTACACAGGGGGACAGCTTGAGGCTCTGTCTCAAAAAAAAAAAAGAAAAAGAAAAGAAAGGCAGATAGGTTTGGGAAGCACTGGCCATTAAAAACCCACACTAGAAAAATCATCATCATCATTTTTATCATTGCTATTTTCATATCACTAATAATAGTACCCCTGTAGCTATAATTTTACTTTCTCAATGTATGCATATCCATTATCTAATTTTATCTTCACAAGCACCCAAAGGGATAGAGAAGGCAGGTATTCCTGTTCTCATTTGATAGTTAAAAATATTATTCATGGGCGGCACCTGTGGCTCTAAAGGGTAGGGCGCCGGCCACATATGCTGGAGGTGGCGGGTTCAAACCCAGCCCCAGCTAGAAAAAAAAAAAAAAGTAGTATTCACAAGAGACACACAAAATGTGGTCTATACATATAATGAAATAATATTATTATTATTATTCCTCAATTCAAAGGAATGGAGTTGTGATTCCTGGCACAACACAGATAAAGGTTGAAAACGTTCTAAGTGAAAAAAGCACAAAAGTCCACATAGCGCATGAAGTTTTAATCTTTCATTCAACTTCTTCCAAAGGGGAACAAAGCGAACTTCTGTTCTCTATCCCTAGATGAGTAATTCTAAAGGACAAAATCGGAGAGCAAACGAGCCGTTTTCCTTATCCTTTTCATCCCCATCTGACTCTGTGGCAGTGGGGGAAAAATGGTCACATTTCTCAACACTATGCCAGAGATACCACTGAATTTCCTTGACTGAATGGGCACTACACAGGCCTGGGAGGGCACTGAGGTCCACTGCGACGTGTAGTTGTAGATGACAGATGAACAAAGACAACTGAGCTCTGTTCACACTCTGAGTAGTCTGGGGATTCACCAGGAAGTATCACTGTACCCAGGAGTGATAGATGAGAGTCCAATCTAGTGGAACTCAAATGGAATCAAGGGAAAAGAAGGCTGCAGTCTTTCCAAATTGCATTTACTATCTACCTATATTGAACTGAGGTTGTTTATCACCAGCTCCCTTCCAATACACACACACACACACACACACACACACACACACAGACCTAGAGAGAAAAATCAATATGTAAAAAAATGGATCAGGGGAAAATCATGCATAACACCTCTTATGTCAGACAGAAGACTATTCTAAGCCTTGCTCTGCGTACACTGTCATTTGGTTTAGAATTCTGTCCTAGCATTATCTATTGTGGTCTTCAGAATACCATAGGTAGTGGAAATGAAGACATACCAGATGATTCAGAGTGCTTTGTTTGTAAAAGTTATTACAGAGAAATCCCCCAAATTTGACTGCGATACCGATTTTACAGCGACAAAAGACACACACCCTACCAATTACTCTGTTGGACAGCTCCCTCTACCTACCCTCAAGTCCTCCAAGTTTGGCCTGACTCTCCTTTATTTTAAGATATGTACTGGGATGGCCAATCCTTTGATGGTCAGGCAAGGCCTAGGATTAACCTCTGGCTGTCCATTTAGTAACTAAACCTCCTGGGTATTGCTTGCCAAGGTTAGCTATGTAGAAAAATCTCAGACTTGAGCCCTGAGATTCAGATATAGCAACCATATGGACACTCTCTCTTAAGTGGCCCCAATCACTTGGCACGGCTGCTTGGGAAACAGCAGCTACTTGAAAGAACCGAGGGTTTGTACCCGGGAAGCCCTCATGTTCCTTTGTCTAGGAACAGAGAAAACTTAGAATCAGTGAAGCCCAGGCAGGTTGCTCCCATACCAAGTCACTTAATACGCTGTTTCTCCTTCCTTGTTGTCCATTTCATAATTTGGTTTTCCTAGAGATTTAAACTCACCTTTGCTTAGGGAAAAGAGGAAATGAGATGGGAGGCGTGGATAATGGTGGAGGGGTTTGGGGAGAAACATTTCCAATATCACCACTCCTTAAGCCTGTTCTTTAAAAAATTGTATTAGGTTACATTGATAACCTAATATGATGTTACATTGTTACATTAGGTTACATTGTACACATGTTACACTGAACAATTTAAAAGTAGGGATAGGGAAGCATCCTCAATATAACTGATTTGATAATATAGAATGTTAAGAATATGACCCAAGATCTAGTTTCTGAATGATTATAAAGAAGACTTTATGGCTGAGCAAGTTTTGCTAACAGCTGGGGTTTTCCCTATTTGGGGGAAGGTACACAGGTTGTCGAGATTTTCAGCATCTATTCAGAAAATTTCGTTGCAATACCAAAATCTGGAGAGGATTTAAAGGGATTGAGGTATCATGAGTCAGTTCCTATTCTAACAGGAATGGTCTTTGTTAAAATACCACACATACCTACAGCTTTCTTTGGTATTTCTCCCAATGACCTCAGCCCTAGGGACACACCCTGAAGTGGGCTTTTTAGAAGCAACAGCTGAGCAGTGACCACTTACCTAAAAGAATAATCCTGTGTGAATATGTCCAGGATGTCCTGTTGTGAGGGTGCATATCTCCAATGAGTTGCAATTCACCATTTCTCAGCAGTTCAAAGGAAATTTGAACATTATATTTTCTCTGTTAACCTGGCCAAATGTTTGTCCTCATTTGGTTTTTATGCTCTCCCTCAGTAATGCTACTCACAGTTAATTATGAATCAGATTTAGAGTAAATGCCACAATTAAGATTTCCTTTTGTATACACTGGCAGATAAACACAATGCATTGTCATCACCCTCCACACTTCAACCCCAGCAGAGACCGAAGGCCACGAAGGGTGATGGCTAATGGTTCTGTGGATGCCTAGAGCATCAGACATCTGGGCATTAATCAACCCGGTGCTTTGAGGAATACATTGCCTGATTTCTTTCAATGCAACCCATGAATGTAACCATCGCCAGTGATGCCACCTCCCACCGAGGGCCACCACCCACTACTTGAATTACCTTCCTCCAGTTCATCCATGCTTCCGATCTTCCTGGATCCATCAATGGTGTAAATGTAACGCACTCCCTGAGGCAGGTTGATGTTGTCAGACAGAGATCGAGTCAGGTCAGCCAGCAGAGCATCAAAGCTGCGAAAACGGTCAGAGGACACAGCGTACACAATCCCCTTGAAGTAGCGGTCCCCATTGCGGTAGAAACGTACCTTCTTGGCTTTTTTTTCGTTGCTCAGTGCCTGCAAGGTTCGGGTTCGGTAGAAGCTACAGTGGGCACTGTGAGTGGGGCTAGGCAGCCCATTCATCCGGGAGCCACGCATGTTCCTGGATGTCTTGTCTCTTTCGTCAAAGTGTCCAAAATCAAGTTCCATATTTCGGTCAAACCTCAGGGACCTGAGTGTCGAAAAAAGGGACCGGGGTGGGGGTGAAGAGAGGTAAAGAGAAAGGGGTGGGGAGAAAAGAAAAAGAAAGGAATTCAAATATTAGCCGGATCCAGATCTGCAATCTGCTGCTTGCGAAAAGAACTGGTTGGAAAAAAAAAAAAAAAAAGCCTGTGCCCCATCTGCTGTTTGCCCCTGACCCGCAGGAATATTGATCTTAATAGAGAAAAAGGAGGGGCTGGGCGGGGGGTGCTGGTGCTTGTGGGGGTTGGGAGCAAGAGATAGAGAGGGAGGCACTCTTGGCACTGTTCCAGACAGAGGAGAGGGAGGGATTTTGAAATAGCTGAAAATCCTGGGACTTACTGACAGTGGCTCCTATCAAATTGTAACTTCGGGCTAAATACATTATAACTGGCATCTGTTTCCTCACACATGCCCACATGACTAACAGTTGTAAATGAATCCATAGCCTGACAAAATTCCCCTTGAAGAGAACAGAAGGAGCTAACCAAGGTTAGCATCCCTGGCTTAGGAAGCAATCCTTGCATCCCAGTACAATGACTATGAAGGGGGGGGTGTTTTAATTTGATTCCAAGCCCTCTTTCCTACTCTCCTGTGCGCGCCCCCTCCCCCTAGAATAAAGTAAGAGTCTCCTTTAAAGGGACAGCCTCTAGGGAGTAGCCAATGTCTTTGTGCTATTCATCAAACCCTTTCCCCAACAAGCTGGTACAGCTATCCAACATTCACTAAGAAATAAGCTGGGGGAAGAAAGGATTAGAAAAACCAGTTATTTGACAAGTGATTAGAGCTCTGCTTTCCCCCTGTACGGTTTGGTCACAAAATCCTTTTCTTTCCCAGGTGCTCCATCCCCCCCCCCACCGAGACAGAAACACCTCTTAATGGAATCATTTAATTGTGGAACGATTCCCCCATGAGTCCCTGAACAGCCTATGGGACCTTTGGAAGCAAGCACACCTTTCATTGTTCTGGGGTTCTAACCTAACTGAAGGGGCATTTGGGTCTCGCCACAGGCAATTCATCCTCAACTTGTGTATTGCCCGGGTACTTTAGCTGAGGCCAAAGATGGTCATTTGCCAGGCTTTGCTTTTCCCATTTCTATTGAGCCGTCCCCACCCAGAACCCCAAACGATGAAAACAAAACCAAATTCAACCAAAGCCCTAAAGGTAGTAAGTACCATACTAAGAGCCAAACTATTAATATACGTCTCACAGATGGGGAAAAAGGGGCTCACAAAGCCAGCGGGGCTCACCTGCTTCACACTGCCACATCAAGATACTTGCCAGGGACCAGATAAGAAAGGACTGGTGCCTAGTGGGATTGCCAGGCTCAGACCCCCCCTTTTTTTTTCAATGTCACAATGACCTATGCTGAGCTCAGCATTGTCTCTGCTAGGCAACCTGCAGTGCTAAAGACCCCACCTCCTCATGACAAGTAGCAAGCTTGTTTACCCAGGCATAAAGCTTTGCTGCACTTACAGGGTCAGAGGTGGTATTATTCTAAATTAACATCACAGTGAAAAACAAAGGAACATCAAACTCACTTTTCCAAAGGAAAATCCCAGGTAGAGGCTTAAGAAAAGAAATCAAATAGAATAAGGCAAAAAAGAAGAGGAGAGAGAGGGAAGGAGAGAGACAGAGAGCACAGAGCACGCTTCGCCTTGTGCTTTCCCGTTTGACATCTGTTACATTCTGCTTGAAAATCACTCGAAAGCCCCACTCACCGGTTTTCTGCTGGTTGGGTGGAGATGCTGAGAGAAAGAAAACCAATCTCTCTATGCCTTTGTTGTCTGAGCTCCAAGCAAGAAATTCCTGCCAGGGTGGATGGATGCCTTCTAGGTCCTAGTGCCTTGTCCGGCGTCTCCCCTGTAACTCCGGCTTGGTGAATCCCCCCAACCCTCCTATGATTAATTACATGCTTTTTTTGTTCAATTCACAGGCTGCATTAACAGCTAGAAAGGTTTCATTTATAACCAACAGGAAATTGCAGGGTAGCAAAAAGATTGCGCAGGCAAGTGCAGAATGCTCTAATGAGCAATGTGCTAGTCCTTTCTTTTAGAAAATTGGCAATTTCACTTGGCCAAAACCTTGGCCTAATCTGCCTGGGGGCCAGACTCAGACAGCCAAACCGGGCTTCTTAGAAATTGTAGCTGTCTGCCTTTTACCCTCTTGAGAGGAAAAAATTAAATACGGAGATTCTTTAAAGGCATTTTACTTCATGTATCCAAACACTGTTTATTTTTATTTTGTTTTATTTTATTTTTGAGGCAGAGTCTCACTGTGTCACCCTCGGTAGAGTGCTGTAGCGTCACAGCTCATGGCAACCTCAAACACTTGGGCTTAAGGCATTCTCTTGCCTCGGCCTCCCAAGTAACTGGGACTACAGGTGCCCGCCACAACGCCAGTCTATTTTTTTGTTGTAGTTGTCGTTGTTATTTAGCAGGCCCAGCCCAGTATCGAACTGGCAGCCCCAGTGTATGTGGCCGATGCCCTAGCTGCTGAGCTATAGGTGCCAAGCCACGACTGTTTATTTTTGAAATGAGATGAGTGGAGGAGAGATTAAGGGGTAGGAAAAAGACGAGGGAAAATGGTTCCAGAATATCATGGGAGATAGAGTTGAAAAAGGACCCCCAAAACCTTTTAGCTTGGTGTAAGAATTTGGTTAATGAAATGTTTACCTTTGAGAGTTTGAGAGTTCAAATCCAACCCAGAGACCTTTCTATGTGAAATGAGTCTGGTGGCCACAAGATAAATATTAACAGATTTCTCCTCAAACTGCCTATTTGCCACTAACTGGCTTTTTTATATCAAGTATTTATAAAGAATAAGGAAGCATCCAAACTGAACTCATTACATCAAGCCAAACTATAAAACAAAAGAAGAGAAAGGTAAGAGAACTGGGGACGAGGGGGCCCTATCATAGTCACAGTTGAAGCTATGTGTGTTAGTATGTAGCAGTCCTCAACTATCCTGGTTCCATTTTCACCTGGCTTCCAGAAAGCTCAGTAATTATTTTAGATCTGATTTCCAATGAACCCTCCCTTTTATATAAAGATGTTGATCTTTTATATTTAAGCATTTTCTGTGCATAGGTGTTACTGTGAGCTGCCTCAAAGTAAAAGAAAAATATGATTATCTTTCTTCTCTGGCAGGTGTTGACTCAATAAAGCCTAAGCTATGTCAGCTAGGTTGACAGTCTCAAGTGTGCAATCTGCCTAGTTAAGTCATCCCAATATCTTGATACCGGTTTCCTGGTTTCTAAACAAGTACCTCAGCGGAATACACATGTCTATCTTTTTCTCTCCCACAGGTTGTTGCCTTACATTGTGGCTACCTCTTAAAAAATCAAGACCAAGAATCCAATGTGCTCAATTCTAATATGAAGGCAGTAGATGATCTAAGACAAGGTGGGGGATAGGGGAATGAGGGATCAGGGAGAGGAGAGGAGGAAGGAGGATGGGGGGGTCATAGTGTATGGCACACCTCTTGAGAGTGAGCCACAATTACAAGAGGGACTTTACCTAACAAGCCCAATCAGTGTAACCTAAGTCTTTATACCGTCAGTGAATCCCAAACAATAAAATAAAAAAAGATTATTCACAGTCGGGGGGTGGCACCTGTGGCTAAAAGGAGTAGGGCACCGGCCCCACATGCCGGAGGTGGCAGGTTCAAACCCAACCCCGGCCAAAAACTAAAACAAATAAATAAATAAATAAAGATTATTCACGGTCAGAATCAGAAAAAAATCAAAGAATAAGAACAAGAAAATATGGAAATTCTGACAAAGCTAATGTCTTAAAACTTCTTCCTTGCACATCATAAACAGTAACATATGCAGCAGTTGATTTCACATCAGAATTCAAAATCATTTTATTTCCAATAAGGTATAAAAATGGATGGGATCAGAAAGCTCAACTATGAACGATTTGGAATATATTTTAGAGGACATAGGCTTTGCAATACTATTATGTCTTCGGGAGACAACATAGGACAAATGACTTTATCTGCTTTATAGATACCAAAGAGCAAAGGGATGGACAAGATCAATATTTCTCAGTGTGAGCTATGTGATTAATAGGTATTCCTTAAAAGCAGAAAAAAAAATTCTGTGGTCAAAAGTGTTTGAAAAGTGATGGGCTAAACAGAGTTCATTTTCTTTATTGTAAAACTTTTTTTGAGGGGGGACAGTGAGCAGATTTTATATACAATTTGGAATGTTCACATCAAACTGGTTAACATAGCCTTTACCTCACTTACTTAATTGTTGTGTTAAGACACTTATACTCTCCTCTTAAGAGATGTGACATGTACCCTTGCAATATGCACCATAGGTGAAGTCCCACTGATTACCCTCCCTCCACCCAGCCTCCCCCTTCTCCTCCCCTCCCCTCCCCCTCCTCTTCCCTCCTTCATTCTGGGCTATAGTTGTGTTTTATCATTCATATGAAAGTGTGATTATATATTGGTTTCATAATAGTACTAAGTACTTTGGATACATTTTTTGTTGCAGTTTGGCCAGGGCTGGGTTCAAACCCACCGCCCTTGGTATATGGGGCCAGCACCCTGCTCACTGAGCCACAGGTGCTACCCTTCTTCCATTCTTTT